ATTATTCCCTCTGGGAGTGGAGCCCCGGGGGTCCAGAGCGAGTGGACTCCCTGAGGGGGCCCACGGCAGAGACAGACGTGCTAAGACTCAGGGAGGTGCGGCTCCAGGAGGTGGAGGGGCCTGACCCCGAGAGAGAGTGGACCCCCGAGAAGGGCTGTCGCACTGAAAGGGCCCCCCCCTCCATGGACCGCACGGGGCCAAGAGTGGGCACGACCTGGGAGTCCGTGACACGCTCCCGAGGGTGCACGGAGGTGCTGAAACGACCAAGGTGCACGCTCAGCCCTCTGCCTTCCCTGTGCCCTGCGGCGCCCATCTGCAGGGACATCTATGTCCTAACTGCCCCCGGGTCGCAGGCCACGATCTGTGCTAGCCCCAGCCACTCCTGTCGCCCCATCGCGCGCTGGGCGAGGTGTCTGGGTGGGGCTGTGACCTGCGCGGGGAGTTCATAGAATCATAGACTATCAGGGTCGGAAGGGACCTCAGGAGGTATCTAGTCCAACCCCCTGCTCAAAGCAGGACCAATTCGCAACTAAATCATCCCAGCCAGGGCTTTGTCAAGCCAGGCCTTAAAAATCTCTAAGGAAGGAGATTCCACCACCTCCCTAGGGAACCCATTCCAGTGCTTCACCACCCTCCTAGTGAAATAGTGTTTCCTGATATCCAACCTAGACCTCCCCCACTGCAACTTGAGACCATTGCTCCTTGTTCTGCCATCTGCCACCACTGAGAACAGTCTAGATCCATCCTCTTTGGAACCCCCCTTTCAGGTAGTTGAAAGCAGCTATCAAATCCCCCCTCATTCTTTTCTTCTGCAGACTAAACAATCCCAGTTTCCTCAGCCTCGCCTCATAACTCATGTGCTCCAGACCCCTAATCAGTTTTGTTGCCCTCCGCTGGACTCTTTCCAATTTTTCCACATCCTTCTTGTAGTGTGGGGCCCAAAACTGGACACAGTACTCCAGATGAGGCCTCACCAATGCCGAATAGAGAGGAATGATCACGGCCCTCGATCTGCTGGCAATGCCCCTACTTATACAGCCCAAAATGCCGTTAGCCTTCTTGGCAACGAGGGCACACTATTGAGGGGGGAGGTGCTGGTTCCATGGGGCTATGCGGGGATGTTGGGAGCTGAGGGAGGCTGGCACCTCGGCTGCGTCCCAGAAGGGAGGAACGGCAACGCTGGGGTGTCCACAGCCATGCGGTACATGTGGGGGTGGGGTGGGAAGGGCCCTCTGGGGAGCCCCTGTGCTGGATGCCCCCATGCCATAGGTGCTGGGGGTACCTGTGCGGGTGGGGTGGGATGGACCCGCTGATAGGGCTGGGCGCTTGGGGGTAGATGCTGCGCATGGCACACACAGCCCTGGCTACACCCGTGCCAGCCCCAGCAGCTGCACAGCCCCCCACCCCCCACGTTGCGCTGCCTCTGTGTGTGCTCCCCCCGCAGCCCTATCTCGCTGCCAGCTCCCGTCTAATTTCCTGTCCATTGTCCCCGCTGCCAGCCCCGCTGCTGTGTGCCGCCGGGTCCTGCGCCCGGCCCCCGCTCACTCTCAACAGCCATGTCTGTGCCTCCTGCCACCAGGGCCAGCCCCCGGGCACCCTCGCCCACACCCTGCTGCTGCCCACCCCCTCCCCACCCGCCTGCCACATGCCAGCCCCTGGGGCACCCTTCCCCACACCCTGCTGTTGCTAGTCACCCCCTCCCCACCTGCCTGCCACATGCCAGCACCGGGGCGCCCTCCCCCACACCCTGACTCTGCTCACCTCCTCCCCACACACCTGCCACCGGGGCCAGCCCCTGGGCACCCTTCCCCACACCCTGCTACTGCTAGTCTCCCACCCGCCTGCCACATGCCAGCCCCTGGGGCGCCCTCCCCACCTGCCTGGCACATGCCAGCCCCGGGGCGCTCACCCCCTCCCCACATACCTGCCACCGGGGCCAGCCCCTTGGCGCCCTCCCCCACACCCTGCTGCTGCCCACCCCCTCCCCACCTGCCTGCCACTGGAGCCAGCCCTTTCACAGACCCCTGGGCCCAAAACGCAGGCCTGTTAGAGCAGCCAGTGCAGCCAGACCAAAGGGGCTGGGGCAGGGCCTTTATAGGAGGGGTGTGTGCTAAGGTGGGGTGGGAGAGGGGCTGAGTTCTGGGGTAGAGTGTGTAGGGTGGGGGAGGAGCTGGGTGCTGGGCTGGAGTGTGCCAGGTGGGGGAGGGGCTGGGTGCTGGGATAGAATGTGCAGGGTGGGGGAGGGGATGGGGGCTAGATGGAGTGTGCAGGGTGGGGGAGGGGTGGTGTGGTGTGTGCAGGGTGGGGGAGAGGCTGGGTGCTGGGGCGCAGTGTGCGGGAGAGGCTGGGGGCTAGGTGATGTATGCTGGGTGGGGGAGGGGCTGGGGTGCAGGGTGGGGGAGGGGGAGGGGATGGGGCTCTGCCCGCCCTCCTTGGCCCCAGTCTTCCTGGGCGGCCCTGGGCGAGCCCCTCAGTCTCTCTGAGTCTCCCCACCTGTGCCCGGCCACTGGGGGGTGAGGGGCACACACTGGGGGTTGTGAAGCACCCAGGTACCGGGGAACAGACAGACCATGCCCAGTGGCCCAGTCCCTGGGTGCCCCAGCAGGAGAGGGGGAGGGAGAGCTGAGGCTCTCAGATCGGCCCGTCCGGGGCAGTGGGCTGCCAAGACGGGTGTGAGGAGCGGGCGGGCGCAGGCGAGTCAGTGATGGACAGCGCAGTGCGCGCACGGGCGGAGGTGGATATGCTCCGATGCTCACACAGGAGGATGGTGCATGTTGCATCCCCAGTGGCGTAATGAGCCTGCTCGAAGGCCCCAGGGAGCCGGCGTGCCCGGCCCCATTGGCAGTCTCAGCATGCTCGGCCTGGCTTCCTGCCCGCTTGTTTTGGTACCTGGTTGTCGGGGGGGGCTGTACAGACTGTGCTGATAACACCAAGCTGGTTCCTCAGGCTGGGGTGAGACATCCAGCTGAGACTGCTCACAGCTCAGCGGGGACTGGGGGAGTTGGCAGGGGCGCTGGCTGTGGGACTGACTGCAGTGCCAAGCCTTAAACAGCTGGATGGGCTCCCGGGCCCCCGCGCTGCCCTGCTGGGCACAGAGCAGGGGCTCGGAGCGGGTGTGTGGCTGGCGCAGCCCCTCTTCCCGGGCCCCGAAGGCCTGTGCAACGGGGGCTCTGCATGCTGGGTGGGGTGCTTGGGGGCATGGGGACCATTGCCGGGTACTTCCGGCTTTAGACTGGGACTAGGGTGCAGGTTCAGTTCCTGGCTCTGCCACCAACTCCGTTATCCTTGGGCAGCTCCTGGCTTCTCTCTGAGCCGCTGCGCCCCGCACAGCATGGGGGAGACAGTCCTGCCCTTCTCCCCCCCTCCATGTGGCTAGCCTGTGTGCACGCCGACGCAGGAAAGATCGCGCCGTAGGGTCTGTGCCGCGCCAGGCCCAGCGGGCAGCACTGGGCAGCCCCGGGCCCAGCGGGCAGCACCGCAGCGCTGCTCTCGGCTTGTCACCTCTGCGAGTGGCGTGGGCTGCACAGAGCTGCGGGCGCAGGCGGAGAAGGGTGCAGCTCCCGCATGTGTCTTGTTTCTGTTGGTTGGGGTGGAGATGGGCCCAGCGACTGGCCGGCTCCCGGCGCGGGGCAGGGCGGGCTAGGGCTGACCGACACGGTACCAGCTCCTCACCCATCACCAAACCCAGCTCCAGGCCACCTGGCCCAGTGAGACCCGAGGGCCCCTGCGTGGGCCCAGCGGGGTGGGACGGGGCTGCAGGCGGCAGGTCTCTGCTGGGGGCTGGCTCGGCCCGTGGGAACCTCCCCGTGCTCCGGCTCCCCGAGCAGCCCCACGCCGGCCCCGCCCCAGACCCAGCGCCGCAGCTGGCTCCCGAGCCAGGCCCAACAGCGAGTAACCGGCCCCAGCCCCGGGGCTCCCCGACCGGACCGGACCGGACCGGACCGGGCCGCGCCTCTCCTGCGCCGAGCCCCTCACCTCGGGCCGGGGGCCAGGGCGGGGTGCAGGGGGGAGCTGGGGGTCCTGGGGCCGGGAGCTGCCGGGCCATGTGCTACCATCCTCCGAGCGCCGCGGGACATCGCGGCCGTAGAGCCGGACCGGACCGGACCGGGGCCCCGCTCCCCGCCGCCCCTGAGCGCCCGCACCCCGAGAGCTCCTACCACGCCGAGTAGTAAATCAGCGCCGCCCGCCCCGCCTCCCCGCTCCCCATTGGCCGCCGCCGGCGCCGCTCCCGAGCCCATTGGCTGCCGGGCCGCGGCCGGCTCCCCATAAGGGGTCCGCGGGGCTGGCTGGGCTGCAGCCGCGGGAGCTGGGCCGGCAGCGGGGAGCAGCGAGCGGGCAGCCGGGCCCCGTGAGTAGCCGCGGGCGGGCAGGAGGCGACGGGGATGGGCAGTGGGTCGGGGCGGGCTTGGTAGCACTTGGGGCAAAGTTCTCTTCTGCCCCCCCGAAGGGCTGCCATGGGGTGGGGGGATATTGGGGAGGGGGACGGTGGTGGGAAGGAGGCGATATGGCTGGAACTAGCCCTGTGGGGCTAAGGGAAGGGGAGAGTGGTGGAGGGGTACCAGGGCACGGTTAAAGATGGGTGGGCATGGAGCACCGGGGGGTGGTGATGGGCTTTGCAGGGGTTGGGGGGTCTCTGGTTGCAGACTCCCCTCCCCCTGGCAAAGGGGGCAGGCGGGCTGGCTGGCAGCCTGCAGGTGGAAGTGGCGGCTGTCCTCAGAGGAGCCAAGGTCCCGCGGGCTGGCGCTCGGATGCTAAGGTGACTGCTCAGTGCCACACTGCATTAGCAGCTGGCTGAGTCCCAGACCCCAAAGCTCTGGCCCCAGGGAGGGCTGAGGGGACTGGGTGGCACCAGACTGGCTGGGGATGTGGGGCTGAGGGAGCCGGCAATCCCGGTTCTGCCAGTACGGCCCATCCGAGCCACCCGCTGTCCGGTGCAGCGATGGGACCATGCTGGATGGGTCAGCAGGGGGGCTGGAGCAAGGTGTACAGTGGGGGGCTGAGAGCCATTGAACCAGACTGGAACCCCTGGGTATGATGGAAACCCCTTCTGGGGGTCAGAGCACTCTGGGACTGGAGCACTGCTGGTGCTGGTGCTGTCTGCACTTGGCTGGATTCCTACAGCTGTGGGACAGGAGTGACCCGCTGCTTGTGGCCCTTGGCTGGATCTGCAGGGTCTGGGCTGGTCCTGGTGGGTTTACTGGGGAGAGCTGCACAGCCTGGGTACCTGGAGATTCGCTGGGCTCTGGTACCAAGCAGTGCCTGGAACTGACCGGCCCCGGTGCGGCAGCAGGAGAGCTTTGGGTGGCTGGGTGGGAGACCAGCGTGTTGGAAGTGGTGACCCCCCCCCCCCACTGTCCCAGAGCTGCCAGCAGGGGGTGCTGTAACCTCACTGGGGTGCTGTGAGGTCATGGCATGTGGTTGTGGGGAGCTCTGTGATGTCATTCACTGGGGTGAGGTGGTGGCATGGGGAGTTGTGTCCTCACCAGGATGCTGTGAGGGGTGCCTGGCTGTCACCATGGCTGGGAAGTGACCTGGCCCAGCCCGGGTGGGGTCCCTGTACACTGAGAGGGTGGAGGTGGGGTGGCCTGGGCTGTGCTTCCCCTGCCGTGACACCTGGAAGGCTGCAGAGACCCATCCTGTGGGCACAGCTTCTGGAGGGGGTAGGAGAGGTTGGGGCTACCTGGGGGGCCCGTGGGAGCGAGCCATGAGTCAGTCACTCCGTGCCAGGTGCTTGAGAGGGAGTGAAGGGAACAGGGCACGGGGCAGTGAGCCCTGGCTCAGTGCTAGGTGTCCTGCTGCTCTGGCCTGGCCCCATGGCTGCTCCTGGGCTCTGGAGCCAGGGCCAAGAACTCTCTGACTCACCTCTGCCAAGGGCCTGAGGGTGAAGCCTCATGCCCCTCCCGGCCCTGAAGGCTGCCCAGGAGCTCTGAGCCCCAGATCAGGCCCTGTGGGTCTGCCCATTGCTGGGGGGGGGGGAGGCACGGGGCACGCTTAAACCTGGTGCTTTGTTTCCTGCCCTGGAAGTGTGATGGGAGAGCTGAAGGGAGCTGGGTGGAGGTGGGAGCCTGGGGGCATTGTCCCTGGCGAGGGGCACCCCCTTGCAGCTGGACTGGGTCAGTGAGCAGGGGAGGGGTCAGGGTGACTGTTTTGGCCTGGGTCCCTGGCTGCCCCTCCCTGTCCCTCCCTTGTTTTCTGGCTCTGGGTTGATCCCATGCGGGTGTGAGGTCCCCTGCCTGGGCCCAAGGAGCGGCTGCAGCTCTGGGCCTGGCTGGGGCATGTTGCCGCTCGCTGCTGGGCTGACTCCCTGGGGCTCAGGGCAGGAGCAGCCCCCAAGGGCTGTTTTCAGTTTCTAGTTTGGCCCCCAGCCCTGCCAGGTCCCACCTGGGCTTGGGGTGGATGGACAGACAACTCTGCCAAGCACCTGGTGCCAAGTCACTGGCCTTGGCGCTGCTGAGCGAGGCGGTGCCGTAACGGTGCCGCGTGGGGCGGCCGTCCCTGTCCTTGCGTGCTGTGACCTTGGTGCTGTGCCGTGCAGAGCCCCGCTGCGGGACGTCCCCGGCCCCACCCTGTGGCTGCGTGAAACATCTCGGATGGCGCCTGGGCCCCGTCCTGCCGTGTCCCCTGGGATAGGACCCATGGGGCTGAGCGCACAGGTAGTGGGAGCTGCAGGCCTTCGGGTGTTGCGGCCCTTTGAGAGGCTGCTGGGAGACGTGTTTGTGAGGCCAGCCTGCTGGGGTCTGTGCAGCGTGGGGCCCGGGCAGAGCCAGGCCACAGCCTGCAGGTGCTGGGCACAGCACCCTCCACCTCCCAGCTCCACACAGCCAGACCTGGCTGCCCCTGGGAGCAATGGGACACGTGCTGGGCTTCTCCCTGCTGTTGGCCCTGCGCAGACCCCGGTGGGGAGCTGGCTCCAGGCCACACTGACACCCCCCACCCCGGATCCCTGGGGAGGCCTGTTGTCCCCAATCAGGGACATTGTTCCCTCCTGGAAAGGCTCCATCAGCCCTGGAGGATTTTGCCTGCAGCTGGGTGGGGGGCGGGCCAAGCTGGAGAGAGCAAGAACTGCAGGGAGCGAGGGAGTGCCAACATCCCCTGCCCAGGGGCACCCGCAAGGGCCAGACTCTGCCCTGCCACCTGCCCATGCAGCCTGTCTCCCCAGGGCAGAGCTGGGCGGGCCGGGGTGTGTGGGAGGTGCTGGTGTAGAGGTGGAGGTGTGCACAGCGAGGCAGGTTTTGCTAATTAATGGGTTTTTCCCTCCCAATCTTGCCAAGGGGCCTCTGATGTATTAGTTTAATTAGCCAGATCCAAGGGCTGTGCATGCTGGGTGCACAATGAGCTGGCCCCGCGCTCGGTGCCGATCACATCCTCCTTTCCCGGGTAATGACAGGCTGGTCTCAGGCCGAGTCCTGGGCCTGCCAGCGGCTGGCTGAGTCGCCCCGGGGGGGCCAGCTGACTGGCTGTCTCTGCTGTGATGCATACCTAGTCCTGTTAGTGGCCCCAACAGTGCAGGTGGGGACTGGTGTCTGGGGGAGCCATGAACCTCCCCCAAATGCCCTTATTGCCTGGGGTGATGTCTCCCCAGGACTTCACAAGGGAGGTGTTTTTCCAGCCCCCAGGTCTGTAGCGTTGGGCATCTCACACCAGTACTGTGTGCCAGGGCTGAGCGCCGCACGGCCAGAGGGACAGACTGGCCAAGGCCGCACAGGATCTCCCGCAGAGCTGGGAATTGACCCCCAGCACGAATCACTCTGCATCCCCAGCCCTGGTGTCCCAGAGGGGTGTCATTCCGGCCTCTCAGGCCAGCTGGGGCTCTGCCTCCATTGCTGTCCCACAGCAGGTACCTGGCCTGAGCTCACACTGGGGCACCTGTGGGCAGGGATTTGGAGCAATCAAATTTTTGAATTGCTCCGCTCCAGCTCCGGGCAAAACCTACTGGTCCGTGCTCCAGCTCTGGGCTCCACTCCGAAGCCCTGGCTGTGGGGCTGCCCTTCTCTGGGCAAAGAGCCAGGCCCTCCGGTGATGGCCTTGCTGGCCCTGAGGGAATGGGAGCTGGTGGCAAAAGGCCAAGGGGCACAAAGCTCTGCTCAGCATCCCTCTGGCTCGGAGCCAAGCGCTATGGCCCTGGAGGAGCTGCTGCTGCACCATGGGAATGGCTCAGTGTGACGTTCCCCTGGTGTTATCCGGACCGGTGATCTGCTCAGTCACTCCAAGCCTCGACTCTGGGAGCCAGCCTTACCCACTCTGCTGTGAGAACCCCCACCCCTGGGCTGTTCACACACAGCCTCTGGCGTGTAAACTGCTCCTTGGATTGTGCAACCGAATTACACTAGCCAATATCTCCAGTCCCAGACACAACCCTAGGAACCTCCGTCTTGCAGTGTCCAGTTGTGCCCGCTGGACGCTGCAAGCTTATAGGAGTTTGTCAATTTAACACAGAAATTGATATGTGCCAGGCATGTTATCCCAAGGGGAGACTGACACGCTTCAAACCAAACGCACTGCTTCAGTAGAATAAACCAACAGATTTATTAATGACAAAGATAGACTTTAAGTGATTATAAGTCAAAGCGCAACAAGTCGGATTTGGTCAAATGAAATAAAGCAAAACACATTCTAAGCTGCTCTTAACACTTTCAGTGCCCTTACAAACTTAGATGTGTCTCACCACAGGCTGCCTGGTTGCCCATCAGCCAGGCTCTCCCCTTTGATCAGCGCTTCAGTCGCTTGGTGGTGATCTGTGTAGATGGAGGTGGAAGAGAGAGGAAGACCCTGCACCCCTCTTCCTGCGATTCACTGTGACTCTCAGCCAGCCCGTAAAACAGAAGGTTTATTTAAGGACAGGAACACAGTCCCAAGCAGAGCGTGTAGGTACAACCAGAACCCCTCAATCAAGTCCTCTTGGGGAGTGCAGGGAGCTTAGACCCCAGCTTGGGGTTCCCTGCGTTCCTCCACCCAGCCCAAAACTGAAGAACTCCCAAAACCCTCCAGCAGCTTTCTCCCCTCTGCTCCTCCTCTCCTTTGTTCCTCTCCCTGGCAGAAGGTGTCACTTCTCCCACCCCCCTTCCTGGCTCAGGTTACAGGTCAGGTAGCTTCCTTCTCATCCCAATGTAACACATTCCCAGGTCAAATCTGCCCCGTTCCCTGCTCCATCACAGCTTCCCCCTCTAGGAATTGCCTGGTGAATTTTCTACTGCAAACCCCACCCTGGCTGCAATGATCCAGTGGCTGTCCAGGAATCACTGTGCCCCTGCCCTGGGAACTCCTTAAGTGAGACCAGCTCTGCCCTGTCTGTGCAGCGCCCAGCACCATGGCCCAATCCCAGCTGGAGCCTCGACCCTACCAGCGTACGTGGCCAGTTTGGCTCCAAGCCGTGCTGTCCACACACCTCTCCCATGCTTGGATTGGGACTCTGGAGCCGGCCTGGCACGGGTGAGCAGGAGCGGCCGGCCAGCCCCCCTGAGCACGCCAGACGCTGAGAGCCGGAGCCGTTCTCACAAAGTCCTTTGACTGCAGTGAGGTGCCCTGGGCCTGAAGCTCAGCGGCTGGGAGGACGCTGGCCCTGGCTGAGCGGAGGGGGAGAGCAAGCCGATGGGTGGTGCCTAGCGAGGGGCTGCTGGCATCCCCGTCGGCGAGAGCCGAGCAGGTCCCTGAGCTGCCCTAGGTGTCTCAAGGGCTGAGGGCAGCTCTCACCGGGCGCTCCGGGCTGGCAGCTCACCCCCAGGGGCTCCAAGTGGCATCCCCACTCACTCCCTGCCCTGGGGAGAGTGTTGGCACCACGCCGGCTGCTACAGGCCGGGGCTGCCTTAGCAGCGCAGGAGGGTCCCAACTCTGCCCACTTGCAGCAGCGAGGGCCTGGGTGTCTGTGGGTTCATCTCAGGGATTCCCGGGGCCCTGGAGCACCCGGAGGTGGAGGGTGCTGCTGACCCAGAAGAGAGCTGTTTGAGAGACCCTGAAACATGGGGAAACTGAGGCAGGGCACTGCAGCACCACCCTAGGCCACAAGGGGGTGCTCAGCAGGCAGCCAACTCTGCCACAAGCCCTGAATCCGAGCACCTGGGGGCTTGACTCCATGGAGTCTGGGGGATGGACGCCTTGCTCTGCCCTTCACACGCCCCTTCCAGCCAGGAGCTCCCAGACCTTTCACCCTGTGGCCTTCTGGGCCATCGTGGGGACTGGCTGGCGTCCGCAGCCCCGAACATCCTCCCATAGTTACCCTAGAGACTGCTGCAGCCGGCCTAGCCCCAGAAAATCCCCTGCTGCTGCCACGAAGGGGCGTGCGCGCCACGCTGGGTGTGTCTGAGCCAATGTTGCCAGGGCCGTCGTTCTCCACCGCAGCTCGGCCAGCAGGGCTCTTGCTGGAACACAGATAGACCAGGCGGAGAGCTCGTGCTGTGCGGGAGGGGACAGTGGCTGGCTCTGGCCCGTCAGGGGGTTCACGGCTGGGAGCATTTTGCTGATGGGTGGCCTGGGGGATGTGCTCATTAGCCATGGAACTGTCTCATTGTTTTACACTCTGCAGCTCTTGTGGCAGAGAGTTCCACCTGCTAACGGTGCTGTGTGCGGAATTGGGTCCTTTCAACGCCCTTGACCGTTCCCTTGTTCCAGCCAGTCGCCCTTGGCCAGCACTGGGCTGTGTCCCCCCTGAGCAGGTTGCTCCTCCCTGGGCCAGCTCTCCAAGGCTGGACTCGGCCTGCGCCCTTCTCTTCCTGCTCTCCCTCGGGAGACGCGCAGGCCAGAGCAGCATGGTGCTACTTGCAGCATCGCCCTCTGCCTCTGCCCCGGCCCCACGGCTCTGCCCAGGGCTCTGCCTCTGCCCCGGCCCCACGGCTCTGCGCAGGGCTCTGCCTCTGCCCCGGCCCCACGGCTCTGCGCAGGGCCAGGGCTCTGGAGCTGCCCCGGTGGCGCCAGTGCCCTCCGCTGGGCGAGAGCTAGTGCAAACCCTGGGCAGGCGGGAGCTTTTCCCTGGCATGTGTTGCCATTGCATGGCCTGGCCCCCGGCGGTGCTGGCTCTGGGACACTCCTCACCACGCTCCGCTCCTGCCTGACCTGGGTCACGTTGTCCCCACTCAGCCCAGCCGGCTAGACAGCATGGGCCCCTGGCCAGCCTCGCAGCCCTGCTATTTGCCGTGCACCATAAGAACAGCCCTGCTCCCCGGGCAGCATCTGCCAGGCACTGCCTGAGCCCTGGCCAAGGGGGAACTGCAGGGCAGGGACAGGTGCCAGGCCTAGCCAAGCTGCCTCCCTGGCTCCTGCTGGCCAGAGCGGCTGGGAAGCGGCACAGACCATGGGTTGGATGCTCTCAGGTTGTGGTAGTCTCAGCCACATTCCCGGGGTGGCGGCAGGGCCGCCCAGGGGGGGCGCAAATGGGGCAATTTGCAACTATTTTTTATGGAAGGGGCCCCTGAAATTGCTTTGCCCCAGGCCCCCTGAGTCCTCTGGGTGGCGCCCGGCTCATGGGGCTGTGAGGGCCAGGGACTGGGGATCTCGTGCTGCAGTCACTGCGCTGGGCTGTTGTCACGGACTCCCAGATCGTGCCCACTCTTGGCCCCGTGCAGTTCATGGGGGGGTGCCCCTTTCAGTGCGACAGCCCTTCTCGGGGGTCCACTCTCTCTCGGGGTCAGGCCCCTCCACCTCCTGGAGCCGCACCTCTCTGAGCCATAGCACGTCTGTCTCTGCCGTGGGCCCCCTCAGGGAGTCCACTCGCTCTGGACCCCCGGGGCCTCCACCCCCGAAGGGGTTGATGCAACCCTGTTCTCTAGACCAGAGTGACTCTCAGCCAGCGTAACACAGGAGGGTTTATTGAGTGTCTGAACCCAGCAGAGGAAACTCTCAGGGGCCTCAGGCCTGGCCTCTCTCAGCCCAGCACATCCCAGTCTCCCTGCATCCAGGTGGGCTCTTGTGTGCTCCCCCTCTCCAGCCCCGAGCCCCCCTGCTTCCCAGCTGAGCATCTGAGATCCCCGGCCCCAAACCCCGCCTCTGTCCATTGTCTTCTCTCCAGGTAAACAGGGTCGCCTGGGCCCCTTCTCCTCGCTTCTGTCCTCTGGCTGGAACCGGCTGGTCAGGTCATCGGGGTCCTCTCTGCAGCCCATTGTCCTCCCACTGGCCGGAACCAGCTGTGACTCCCGAGCTGGGCCTCCAGGTTGCCAGGTCACCAGTCGCTGGGGTGTCCCTCCTCCAGGCCATCGGCTGGGGTCCCAAGTTCCCTCTCCGGTCCTCTGTAACCACAAACTCCCTCTCCCCTCCCCTCGTTAAATCAGTAACACCCAGGGACACTGAGTCCCACCCCCTCTGCATTCAAACCATGGGAAAACAAGGAAAAAACAAATCCCCCACTTCGTCACAGCTGGGTATGCCCGTCTCCTGCCCAGACCTCGCTGTCTGGTTGCCCTGTGCAGCCTGTGCCCATCTCCCCCCGTGGCTTCGCCTGGTCCCCGGGGCCTCGTCTGCACTAGGAAACAGGCACCCCTGGCACCGTGCAGCCACCGGGGTGTCACACAGCGCAGGCCTCCGCAGAGCCTGCTGCACCCGCTGCTCATGTGGTTCAGCTGTCAGCAGGCGCTGCCCCAGGTGCCTGCCCTGGGCCCACCGCCCACAGGGCCAATCCCTGCCTGGGGGCACAGGCCAAGTGTGGGCAGACAGCTGGGGCCATGGCCCAGCCATAGGTGCCATCTGCAGCAGTGACCTCACCGCAGCGAGGGCGCCTGTGAGGGGCTGAACTGTGGAGCGGCTGGGTCTGGGGGCAGGGATGTGATGGCAGCTGTGGGGGCTCGGGCAGCAGTGCTCTCTGGCTGGGGTCGGGGGGCGGTGCTGAGGGGGTAATAGGCCGGGGGAGCTCCCCAGGCAGGGGGCAGACGCTCGGGTGTCGCCCAGACTGAGCCCCGTGTGGGTTTGGTTCCAGGTGCCGAGGATGCTGCTGCTGGTGTGGTTGCTGCCGCTGGCGTGGCCCGGCGAGGGCTCCCAGCGCGGCGAGCCGATGTTCACAGCCGTCACCAGCCGTGTCCTCCCGCCCGACTACGACAGCAACCCCACGCAGCTCAACTATGGCGTGGCCGTCACCGACGTGGACGCTGACGGGGACTTGGAGATCGTGGTGGCAGGGTGGGTAGCGGGGCGGGAGCAGGGTCCCTGGTGCTCCCAGTCCCACCCTTCCCTCTGCCCTGGGGGTGCGCAGGGTCCCGAGGCCCCGTGTCCCTCTGCTGGTCTGGGTGTCGTGTGCCCAACCCCGGCGAGGGATGGGGGGCAGCTGAGCTCCGGCACTGGCGCGCTTGCAGGCCGTGCTGACTGCAGGGCCCTGGCACCTGCATGCTGCCTCTGGCCTGGGGCGTGTCTGGCTGGAGGAGGTGCTCTGGGCCAGGGAAAAGCCTCTGACAGCCAGGGCCCTGGGGATGTGTCGCAGGGAGCCTGTTCTTGCATTTCACCCTTCCGGAAAAGCAGTGCTGGCTGCCGGCTCCTTATGACACCCTGGGCTGCCCTTCTGCCCCAGCGGGGCTCCCATCCACCGAGAGGGGCCCGGTGTTTGGGGCGTCAGCCGCACCCGTGGCCCACTTGACCTTGAATGGAAGATGTCGGTGGCTCAGAAAGGGTGGCAGCGTGCCCCGGCCTCCAGGTCCCTTCTGCAGGGCGCTACCAGCTCAGCCCTGTGGGGCTGGGGCCCCACTCACCTGTGATGCTGCTAATGGGCTGGAGGTTTTGTATAGCCCTTGACTGGGGCCCCCTCGGCAGGGTCCCCAAGCGTAGGCCAGCCCTGTGCTCCCTGCACACCCCATCCCTGCAGCACCCACTGGAGCTGGCAGCGGTGCACGAGGGAGGGCACCTGCCAGCAGTGCATGTGGGAGGGGGGCATGCCCAGGGGCATCTGCATATGTAACGAGCTAGGTGTGTGGCGCTCGTGGCTCTTGTCCCGTCCCCCATGGAGGCCAGCCCCTCTCCAGCGGCTGGGCCCGTCCTCCGGGTGTGGGGCATGGCTGCCGGGGCCCCTAGCCGCTGCATGGTGCTCTCCTGCTGATAGCGCTCCCTGCACACGGCAGCCCCAGAGCCGGATCTCTGGGTATTACCCCCAGCCCCTTGCCAGGGCCCTGCCTACAGGCCCCCGCCCCCGAGCCCGCAGGGCACACTGGCTCCTGCTTCCTCCTGCGCAAGGGAGAAGGGAAGCCAGCAAACCCAGCCAGAGCCACGCTGCCCCAGGCCAGCACCCTGCTGCCCCGCTTTGGGTGCCCCCCCTTTGTCCAGGGGCTGGAGGAGGGGCTAATGGCAGTGTAGATAGTCTGAGAGGACGTGGCAGGTAGGGGAGCCAGAGTCATGCCCGGGGCGCTGTGATTAAAGCCCCCCCAGCACCCATCGTTCTATGTCATAGAGCTGGAAGGGACCTTGAAAGGTCCAGTCCAGTCCAGTCCCCTGCCTTCACAGCAGGACCAAGTACCGTCCCTGACAGGTTTTTGCCCCAGATCCCTAAGTGGCCCCCTCAAGGATTGAACTCACAGCCCTGGGTTTAGAGGCCAATGCGCAAACCACGGAGCTCTCCCTCCCGCCCATGGGCTCCCTTGGGCCCCGCGGGCGCTTGGAGGCGGGTTCTGGGCCCTCTTGCAGCAGGAGCAAGAGGCTCCCCGCGGCTCATGGATCTGGCTGGTGGCCCGGCTGGCGCAGGCCCCGTTAGACGGTTGGGCTGGAGGCGTCTGAGCAGGGAGTTTTCATCTCCGCCGTGGTCTCTGTGCCAGGCTCTGGCTGCCAGCTGTGCCCTG